GGGTGTGGGGCAGGCTGCTCTGTGCGCGGGGCGCTCCGCGTGTCCACGAGGCCGCTTGGCCGCGTCGGGCCCTCGCCCGGAGCAGCCCGGGAGGCTTTGCTGGCTGGAGCGCCCCGCGTGCGAGTCGTTCAGAGCCGCCCCGTTGCGCTGCGCTGCGTTGCGTTGCAGAGTCCCTGGCGGTGATGTCGGTGGACCTTGGCAGCGAGTCGATGAAGATCGCGATTGTGAAGCCCGGGGTGCCCATGGAGATCGTCCTGAACAAGTACGCTCTGCGCGTCGTGCCTCGGGCTCGTCGTGTCCGGGCTGCAGCCCTGCTGCCGCTTGCGGTGGGAGACGGCGGAGAGGTTTGCTTAACGCAGACAGGCAGCCGGAGCTTCTCGGCCGATCTCGGCCTTGCCGGGCTGACCCGAGCAGCGCTACGAGGGGCTGGTCCTGCAGAAGGGCCAGCGCTTAGCAAGAGAAGAGCATCATCTGGCCCAGTGGTGAAAAGCGGAGGGCAGGAGGGGGACAGAATAGCACAGACACTGCTCCCACCGCCCACCCTTACAGGAGGTTGAAGGGGCGATGACTGGGTTGTCTTCCCTGTACCCCAGTTTCGGCAGTCTCGGTTTGGGGAACAAGGCTTCCCCTTCAGCAGTCAGAAAGTGGGAAACAGGCTATCCAGGTAACCGATCTTCCAGCTGGCGCGTGGGAAATGCCTGTCAAGGAGTCACCTCCAGTCCTTCTGAGTGAAAAACATGCCGTCTCCTTCGCGGTGGCTCTTCGCTTTGACTGCTCACCCGTGTCAAATGTTTGCTTTTTGTTTTTGCTTTTCTTAATTGCTGTTTCCTACTTAGAGAATCACGGAGGAAAACACCAGTGACCGTGGCTCTGAAAGAAAATGAGCGTCTCTTTGGTGATAGCGCGCTGGGAATGGTAAGACTTCTGGTCCTTGAAATGGGTGCTTTGGTTGTTACACAGATGCTCACGTGCAAAACCCATTTCGCCATTTGCACGTTCCCTGGTGACACACGTCCAGGTCAGACCTCTTGCGCCTTGTTTTATCCTTTCTTCTGTGGAAGTGCTTGGTACCTGTGACTTCATGTCTGCTTTCCAACAATTTTGGCTCCCATAACAAACACCCTTCCCCAAGTGCATACACTTAGTAAGAAGTACCTGGGAGAGGGTCATATGAAAGCATCAAAGCTGTCTGAGATTCAGCAAAGAGCCCCGGTTTGTCTGGTGACTTTCTGTCGGTCTTTCCACAGTCCATAAAGCACCCCAAGGTAGCATTCAGGTATTTCCAGGACCTGCTGGGCAAGCACATGGATAACCCCCAGGTGACGCTGTACCGTTCGCGGTTCCCAGAACACGAGCTGGTGAAGGATGAGAGGAGACAGACTGCTATCTTCAAGCTGTCGGAGTAAGTGACTGTAGAAACCTAGAGCCAGAGGCTTTTGTTGCTACGCTGTTACCTTTTGAGCTTCTGGGGAAGTGTCTCCCTTGGCACATCAGCAGCCGACCCTCAGTGCTGGCAAGACAGATCCTTGGCATGGCTTTTGCTGTAATAATGCCTGAGTTAAGAAGTTTTCCTTGTGCTGCGGGAGCTGTTTCCAGGCTCTACACACTGCACATGACACCTCTCTCTGGGAAGGGGGTTGCCTGGATTTGAAGTCTCCCACCTGTCAGCTGCCAAGGCAGCAGTGACAACTATGACATCTCTGGTAAAGATGAGTGTAAGAAGAGAAGTCTCATTCCTGCCCTTGGGGGCCAGGGGCTGACGTCTCAGGTCTCACTGCTGTGCTTGGCCCTTTGTCAGTGGCCTCAGTGCCTGGCTGTCTGCCCTGGAGAAGGAAGCTGTGGGGTCCGTTTCCAGACTTCTGCCTGTTCATGTGCCCATGCAGCGTTCCTGGGAGTTTTTTACTGGTTCTTTTGGATTGCTCCGTGCAGATGGCATCATTTGGACTTTGCTGTGCAGTGTTGGGGTCTTTGTTTCGTAGTTTCATAGTGCTTAGGGTTGGAAGGAACCTAAACGGATCATTGGGTCCAGCCCCCTGCCCCGGGCAGGAACGAGTGCCGGGGTCATAACACCCCAGCCAAATATCTGTCCAGCCTCCTCTTGAAGACCCCCAAGGTAGGGGAGAGCACCACCTCCCTTGGGAGCCCATTCCAGAGCCTGGCAGCCCGAACTGTAAAGTATTGCCTCCTGATGTCCCGCCTGAAACCTCTCTCTAATAATTTGTGGCTGTTATTTCTAGTAACCCCGGGTGGTGCCCAAGGGAACAGAGCTTTGCCCAGTTTCTGCTGGTTCCCCCCGTGAGTTGGTAAACGGCCACCAGATCCCCTCTCAGCCTTCTTTTGTGGAGGCTGGATAGATTCAGGCGCTTTAGCCTCTCTTTGTAGGGCCTGACCTGCTGCCCTTTGACCATGCGAATGGCCCTCCTCTGGACCCTCTCGATGCTGGCCACATCCCTCTTGAAGTGCGGTGCCCAGAACTGGACACAGTACTCCAGCTGTGGCCGTCACATGGAGGGGGAGGATCACCTCCCTGGACCTGCTTGTCATGCATCTACAGATGCATCACAAGGTTCGGTTAGTCTTATTGACCGCTGCCTCGCATGGGCGGCTCATATTCATCCTGGAGTCAACAATGACTCCAAGATCCCTTTCTGGCACCGTGTTGACAAGAAGGGTGTTCCCCAGCCTATAGGTGTGTTGCTGGTTCCTTCTCCCTAGATGCAGTACCCTGTGCTTGTCTGCATTGAATCCCATCCTATTCTCCTCCGCCCACCTCTGTAATCCATCTAGGTCTAGTTGGATTCTGTCCCTCCCCTGCAGCGTGCCCACCTCGCCCCACAACTTGGTGTCGTCAGCGAATTCAGACAGCGTGCTTTCCACACCCACATCCAGGTCGCTGATAAAGATGTTGAACGGTACAGGCCCTGGGACCGAGCCCTGGGGGCCCCCACTGCCCCCATGCCTCCAGGCTGAAAATGACCCATCCACCACCACTCTCTGGGTGCAACCATCTAGCCAATTTGCCACCCATCTGACTGTGTAGGCATCAATGCCACAGTCACTTAGTTTTTTTTAAGAGAATGTGGTGGGAAACCTTGTCAAAGGCCTTCTTAAAGTCCAGGAAGATGACATCCACCTTGATGCCCTCGTCCAGGGACTTTGTGACTTGATCGTAAAAAGAACCCAGGTTAGTCAGGCAGGACCTGCCCTCAATGAACCCTTGTTGGTTGCCCCTGAGCATTACCTCCCCTGCTGGCCCCTTGCAGATGTGCTCCTTGATAATTTTCTCAAAGGTCTTCCCAAGGACCAAGGTAAGACTGACTGGCTTATAACTGCCAGGGGCCTCCTTTCTCCCCTTCTTGTAAATGGGGACCACACTGGCCCTTTTCCAATCCTCTGGTCCCTGGCCAGAGCTCCACGAGCACTCATAAAGCTGTGCCAGGGGCCCTGCTATGACATCCGCCAATTCCCTCAGCACCCTCGGGTGGAGAGCATCTGGACCTACTGATTTAAACATGTCCAGCCCCTCCAAAAATCCCTAACTAGGTCGTCCTTGATCCTAGGCATGACGGTGCCTCCCTTGGGTCCATCCGTAATCCTAGTGGGGGAAATGTCCCGGTCCCTGTTCAGGAATATGGAGGCAAAGAGGTCAGTGTTTTCATTTGCTGCAATCATCAGATTGCCAAGCCTGTCCTGTAGGGGCCCCACATTACCCGGTGCTGCCTTCTTACTCCCTATGTATTTGAAAAAGGACTTTTTGTTATCTCTAATTCTGGTCTCTAGCCCTAGTTCCATCTCTGCCTTGGCCTTCCTAACAGCCTCCCTGCAGTCACGACCAACAGAGGTGTAATCCTCCTTGGTGACAGCCTCTTGCTTCCACTGTTTGTACGCCTCCTTTTTTGCCCTCGGGCATCCCTGGCTGCCTTTGCTGAGCCATGGGGGCTTTTTAGCACTCCTACCCACCTTGGTGCGCATTGGAACTGACTCCTTTTGAGCTCAGAGGATCGTCTCCTTGATGAACAACCACCTGTCTTGGACTCCCCTCTCACTGAAGCTCTGAGACCCCATTGCCTCTCCTACTAATCTTCTTAGTTCGTTGAAGTCGGCCCTCCTGAAGTCGAGGACCTCTGCCTTGCTGTTTGCTTTCACCACCCTGCGCTGGATAGTAAGTTCCAGCAGGCGATGATCACTGTTGCCCAGGTGGTCGAGTACTTGCAGACCCCTCACCAGGTCGTTGCCTGTGGCAAGGACCAAGTCCAGCAAGGCATTTCCCCTGGTGGGGCTGTGCACTTCCTGGGTTAGGTGGAGGTCCTGTATCCTGGCTAGGAATCTACGTGAGCGGTCAGACCTGGCTGACTGCTTCTCCCAGCAGATGTCTGGTTAATTTAGGTCACCCATGACAACCACATCCCTTGACTTTACAGCCTCCGTGAGCTGACCTGAGAATTCCCGGTCCAGCTCATCCCCCGCCAATGAGGTGGTCTGTAGTAGACGCCCACTATCCAGTCCCTTTCCCCATGACCCCCTTGCGTTCTTACCCAGAGCACTTCAGTTTGCCCCTCCTGAACCCACCCTGATCATCGAGGACGTGTATTGCTCTTTGATGTAGAGCACTACATCAAGCACTACAGCGTTGTGACCTCGTTGCCTGTTTTTCACTTTGTCGTCTGCAATGTGTTGACTTACGGATTTTTGTGGCCCCTTGCGCAGCTGGGAAAAAGGGTGACTGTTCTGGTAGACTCTGGTTGCCTACCTGAATCATCAAAAGCCTGATGCCATTTCTCAGTACTGAATATTAACCTTCCTGAGTGATATGGCTCATTGATGTCCTCTCCCCACAGGTTACTGCTGGGTCTGTCATGGGTAACAGGCTCTTGCCAGCCTTCCCCCTTCACTCTCACAGCCACTTTGCCAATTCCATTTTTCAGTTAGCTCTTCAGTTGCTTTTTTACTTGGCAAGTTCCATGATCTTCTGGGTTGTCATGCTAATGATCGATTCTTCATTGGCAGGTGCTTTGTAAAGCTCCTGTTCTGCAGCAGAATGTGCGTATTGGCTCCTGACTGGAGACGTTGTTTGTACTTTCAGAGAGATGCAGTATTCTCCAGAAGAAATATTGGGCATGATCCTGAACTATTCACGTAGTCTGGCTGAGGAATTTGCAGGTAGGTGTGGTGTTCAGTCTTTTTCCAGCATCAATTCATGTTTCAGTCCAAGTCACACGGGTTAAATGGAGATGGAGGGGATCTTTGTACAGAGAAGGTTGGATGTTTTCACCCTTTGACCACCGGATTAAGCCAGCCCAAAGTCGGTACAGAATAAGAGCTGCATTCAGGGGCTGTTTGGCCAGCGTGAAATGAGCTTGGGGCCCTGGCCTTGTTTCTTGTGGATGAGCATCACTGTTAAGCATTGCTGAAAACTCACCTGGAATATTGCATCCAGTTTTAGCACCACACTTCTAGAAATATGTGGCGGGGAAAGTGGAAGGAATCCAGAGGAGAGCAGTAAAAATGCTAAAAGTCTAGAAAACACGATATTGGGAAAGGCTGGAAGAACTGGGTCTATTTAGTGTGGAGCAGGAAAACACTGAGGAATGTGGTCAATTAGAAATGCGGCAGTACTGGAAATGCAGGTGAATTAAATGGGCATGTTTGAATTGCTTTGCTATAGGCAGGTAGTTAATGGGTGCACGCTATGCAGGTAGCAGCCCCGAGCCACATTTGCAAAAGGGGCTTTGTCTCAGAAAAGAGGTTCAATATCCACAGGGCTGGGATTTCAGGATTCCTGAAGATCAGATTAATTTCTGAAGTCTGATGTGTCATGAAATGTTTGTTAGTAACCATTAGAGAGATGGAAGACAGTGGTGTGTAGTAACTTTGAGTGAATCTTTAAAGTCTTACTGGTTTAAGATGGAAACAAATTAACTGACTTCATCTGTGGTACAACTCTGGTTTCCGTGGAGCTCTGCCAGGGTTGACATGGGCATAGTGTTTAATATGGAGCAGCGACTTCGGGTGGAGTCTCCATAGCTACGTGCATGTTGATAGCCCTATTATAGGGACTCCCAGCTCTGACCCTTCCCATGGGAAATTATTTCTCTTTCGTGCCTTTCAGAACAGCCCATCAAGGATGCCGTGATCACTGTCCCAGCCTACTTCAATCAGGCAGAGAGAAGGGCAGTCCTCCATGCCGCTCAGATGGCAGACTTGAAGGTCTTGCAGCTGATCAATGATAACACTGCTGTGGCGCTGAACTACGGGGTGTTCAGGAGGAAGGAAATCAATGCCACAGCACAGGTACGTGCCACTTGGGAGGGCTGGTGAAGCCACTTATAGTTTCATAGTTGGTAGGGTCAGAAGGGACCTGAGTAGATCATCTAGTCCGACCCCCTGCCATGGCAGGAAAGAGCACTAGGGTCAAACGACCCCAGCGAGGTGTTCGTCTAACCTCCTCTTAAAGACCCCCAGGGTAGGAGCCAGCACCACTTCGCTTGGAAGTTGGTTCCAGATCCTAGCCGCCCTGGCAGTGAAATAGCACCTCCTGATGTCTAGTCTGAATCTGCTCTCTGCCAGCTTGTGACCATTATTTTTTGTCACTCCTGGTACTGCTCGGGGGAACAGGGACTCCCACAATGCCTGCTGGTCCACTCTGACTAGTTCGTAATCAGCTGCTAGATCTCCCCTCAGCCTCCTCTTGTGGAGGCTGAACAGATTCAGGTCCCATAGCCTCTCCTCGTAGGGCCTGCCCTGCTGCCCCCGATCACGCAGGTGGCCCTCCTCTGGACCCTCTCCATGTTGTGCACATCCCTCCTGAAGTGCGGCACCCGGAGCTGGACACAGTACTCCACCTGCGGCCTGATCAGTGCCGCATAGAGGGGAAGCATCACCTCCTTGGCCCTGCTCGAGACTTGGACTTGCTTCCCCTGAAATGAGTGGATGGTATGCCTAGACTCGAAGTGCCAGCCAGACTGCCTATGTGATTGGCTGGTTAAGAGCAGTTATTAGTTACTTCTGTTTCTGCCATGGTCATTGATCTGTCTGTAAGCAGAACTAGTATGGCTACACAGCAAGTTCCTTAATAAACCTTTTGCTTTCAGGTGGGTGTACAAAGCAAGGGGAAATTCCTTAGGGGGAAGAGCAGGGCACTAGGAGTTAGGATCCCAGGGCTCTATAGAGCCCTGTCACACTGGGAGCTTCTTTCCCAACCTTTAAAACTAGGCACTGTCCTGGTTCCGCTCTCTCAAGGGGCTGGGAAGCTGGTTGTAAAATCTACGGGCTTCCTCACATTCACAAGATTCCCAGAGAACAAAGTAATGATTCTTTTCACATTTCATACACTAGCAGCATGGGTAAAACAAAGAATTAGGTTAGTGAACGTGTCTTGTCCTTGTGGCACTTGCTGCAATCTGATGTTTGACCAAAGTGGCCAACTTGCGCTCCCTCAATAGACTGGAGCACATGGAGTGAGTGGGCAGTGTCTGTCACATGCCAGCCTTTCTTCCTTCTCCCTTCTGTTCATGGTGGGGGTGGGGTATGCCCAGGGGGTGTCTTAGCATCTGTGCCTTCTGTTTTTCAGAATATAATGTTTTATGACATGGGAGCTGGAAGCACTGTGTGCACCATAGTGACGTATCAGACAGTGAAGACCAAGGACTCGGGGACTCACCCTCAACTGCAGATCCGAGGTGTTGGGTAAGAACAATGCCCAGGGCTCCTGTGCTGCAGAGAGAATGGTTTAGAGAAAGCATTGGAACATGAGACTCTGGACAAGTTGGGATGAGCAGTAGAGTGACTGGTGTGGGGAGGCTGACCCGCAAGTAACATGTGTGGCCTCTGCTTGTACAGATGGTCCCTAAAACTGACAGGGGTGTGGCAGAGCCTTCAATACATTGTTCCTTACAAGACTCGTTTGAGTAGCTTTATTATCTGTAGCTGGCCTTTCAGCCTTGGCTAACCTAGGGGCTTTGTCTGTGCCTTTTCTGTGATGCATGGGTTCCATTCAGGTCTATCCAAGGTGACTGTCAAATTGCTAGTTCCCTTCTCTCGCTTGCATTCCTTCATCCGAACACTGTCAGCAAAGCAGCGTCAGCAGAGTGAGCTTGCGGAAGAGTCCAGACTGCACGTTTGTTGACTTCTGATTCAGTGCAATGTAGCAGTAACAGCTATTCTAACATAACTTTTCCCACATGATTCTATGGAAACTGGGCATCCTTTTAGGGAAGCAGAAGGCACAATGCTGTTGCCTCAGACTTGATAAGGAAGTGAGAAGGTGCAGGGTACAGAAGAAGGTTCATGGCTGCATAGGAGCTGTGCATGGAAGTGTCTGTCAACCCTTAAAGTCTAAACTGCTAGTCCCTAGGGAGAAATATATTGAGACCAAGTTAGAAATGTAAGTTCCCACTCTTAAAATGCTCAATACCTTCAGAAATGTAGGTCTTAACTGTATTAGGGAAGCTTTTCTGATCACAGACTGAGGTGGGGAATTTCTCTTGCTGGCTCAAACAATGTCTTTTCTGAGCAGACTTGCTGTCTGTTCACAGTGGCTCATAACTGAGTGTTGTGGCCACTATTCATCCCTGTTGTCCTGCATGACTGACTGAATCTAGGTGAAAGCAAAATGTAATCAGTAAGATTAAATCCTTGTTCCTGTTCTTTCCCAGATTTGACCGCACGCTGGGGGGGCTGGAGATGGAGCTTCGGCTCCGGGATTACCTGGTGAAGCTCTTCAAACAGCAGCAACCTTCAAAAGATGTGCGGCAGAACCTGCGGGCCATGGGCAAGCTGTTGAAGGAGGCTAACCGCCTGAAGACTATCCTGAGTGCCAATGCTGACCACATGGCCCAGGTACCACCATCTGCAGCAGGATGTCCTGCTTGCTTGGGATGGGG